CATGTATCTTTAAAGTGGAGATCAAGAAGAGATCTAGAGTGCCTGGTGTTATGATCACCCAGTACGTCAAGGAACTGCCACGTGGAAAAACTACACCTGATTTCACCAGAAAACCAATTGCCTTGACAGTTCAAGAAGGTATAATAATAATGTTTTGATATTGTTAAGAAAAGTCCAAATATATTTTTGACAGTATTTAAAAGACTTGTTCTTTTCAGTTGTTAATAAATTCACACTAATTACTGATATATTGTCTAATAGACTATTCTGTGGATTTGATTAAACATTTATGTGTTAGTTGACCAGTCATTTAGCTATAATGAAAAAGTAGTACCTTCGGGGTAGTAGATCCTTCATAAGCATAAACCTCAGAGATGATGAATGGATTGCCTTTCTGTAACTGCAGGGAGAGTGGCTATTTTCAAAGCGGTGGTGAACGGAGATCCAGCACCAACTGTAACATGGGCTCGCAACAAGGGTGACACTTCTGATCCAGAAAAATATAAGCCAAGATATGATGAAAGGACTAGAGAACATGTTCTAGAGGTAACATACCAATGCCAAACATTTGGATCTGAAATTACAACTATCATACAGTACAGCATATTATGATGATGGAACCACCTACAGTCAAATTATTGTTTAATTTGTTGCATTCAAACAGATAGTAAATGTGCAAGTAGATCAAGCAGATACGTACAAATGTTTCGCAACAAATCTATTTGGAAAAGCCATGTGCACAGCTGCATTGAGTGTATTTGCAGGTAGGCAATATATTTTTATTTGAAAAAGCACAATATTCAAGAATATTACCATAATCAAATCTGTGCATTCAATGAGCAGAACTAGGCAATTAGATCTGTTATATAATCTGAATGTATGCTCACATTTATGCAGTGTTCTTACGGTAGTTCCTTTCTCTGTCTTTTAGTTGGATTCAAGAAAAAGTCAAAAGATACATCAAAAAAAGGTGGATATGTTAATCCTGAAATATAAAATAAGTGTAAAGAGGGGCATTTTATTTACATGCCATACTGATAATGTATGATGTTTTCTGTTTTGTTTGATAAGATGACCAAACCAACGATCCTGAGGACTTCAGGAAAATGCTTAGAAAGACCACGTAATTGTTTAACTTCTCAAATGTCAGGGAATCAAGTGTTTAAGAAATGTCTCTTATAAATCAAAGTTACTTTTTTCTTTCATCAAAATGAAAAACCTTCTGTTTAGAATTGTCAAGAAGAGAAAAGAAAAACCCAAGAAAGAGGGAGAGATTGATCCAAAATTCTGGGAAGTGATGCTAAGTGCCAAAAAATCTGATTATGAGCGCATCTGCCATGAATTTGGAGTCACTGACTATCGGTGGATGCTAAAACAGCTCAACCTGAAGAAAAAGGAGAAGGAGGATGAACAAGCAAAGGTATTTGTCAGCAGTTTAATCATCTGATGCTGGTGTCTCACTAGATTTGTAAGTCAATTTCCAATCATTTTGCGTCAAGACTCTGTCTTAAGACAGCCTTCTGCAATTGCAACAGACAATTTCTCTAATAATTTCTAGTGTTTTTTAAAAAGGATATTTAGTAAAGTCTTAAATTTACTTCTTAACTCCCATTTTTTTATGTCTTATAGGTGGTTGAAAATGTTGGCAACATGAATCAGATTGAAGTGAAGACAAGTGGCAGAGCTGAGTTTGAGTTTGATATGAAGCTTAAGGACGCAAACAGTCAAATTAATCTCTACAAAGTAAGTTCAAATGGCTTTTACACAGTAAAAAAAAACAATGTCATCTAGGACAAAAAAAAGCATATTTAAAACACTCTTTCCAGAATGGTGAAATGCTTGATTATGGCGATGGCACTGATGATTCCTCCAAACACAATATGAAAAAGACTGGTGACAAATACATGTTTAGCATAAACAATCTTGGCTTAAATGATGGCGGACTATACCAAGTGGATGTTGAAGATGTCAACATTATTTCAACGACCTTAGCAAGTAAGAAATAATTTCATTTTTAGCATTTCAAATAAAATACTTTAAAGTACATCTCTACATCCATTTTATTAATCATTTCCCTACAGTTCCTGATGTGGAATTTGATGGTATGCTAAAAGATGCTAAAGTGGTTGAGGGGCAGGATGCCATGTTTGAGGGCATTTTTTCTGGTCCTGTACCTCAAATCACTTGGTGTGCCAATGACATCTCTGTTGAGCATGGAGACAAGTACAATATCACAGTCTCTGAAGACAAGCTCACCCACAGATTGGTAGTAAAGAATTGCAAAAAAGAGGACAAGGGCGTGTACACTGCTATTGCTGGGATTAAATCATCCAGGGCCACCCTTGCTGTTGATGGTAAATCTTCAAGAAGAACAAAGAAACATCCTATTTCAGCATAATTTTACACTGCCATGTATATCAAACAGGCCAATAATCTATTATTGTTTGTTATGCTCTATGCCACATCAGAGGACCCTAACATCAAGGGAAAAGGTCGAGGTGGTGAAAGTGACGGAGCAGACGTTTTTGCAAGACGTCTGGCAGATGAACAGGCCAGACTACAAAGAGAAAAAGACGAAGCAGCCAGGAGAGGCAAGGGTACAGATGGGAGAGGTGATGGAGCTGATGGCCATGGTGGTGCAGCGGATGGTCGTGGTGATGGAGCGGATGGCCATAGAGGACTTGGCGGAGATGGAAGAGAAGGATGTGGAGGAGATGCAACAGGGAAGTATGGACAAGGTGGCCTTGGAGTACTTGACGGAAGTGGAGGGAATAGACTTGGAGGAGATGCGACAGGGAAATACAGACAAGGAGAAGATAGTAAAGATGGAAGTGGGAAGAGTGGAAAGGATTCTGGAATGGGTTTAGGAGCAGATGGACTGGGAGGCCAGTCAGCTGTGGCTGGATCTGGTGGCGATGGTACAGGTATGTTAATGACAAAATTGTACAAAAACTGTGTCAACATTTTACATTGCTTATTACTTAATTTCCATGAAAAACTTACCACTTAGTCTTAGACAAGTTATTATAATTCATTCACATGTATCCGTTCCAGATGATAAAGTGCACTTTGCAAGCGGCTTAACAGACAAAAATGCTCTCCGTGGCAAACCTGCAGAGCTGGTGTGTAAACTAAATACTGACAAAATGGATGGTGTGTGGTATAAAGATGGAAATAAGGTATGTTTGTGTATCGTAGCAATATGTCACTGACTGGTCACTTTTCACTGACAAATACAGAGTTTGATATTGATATAAATCTTTTTTCATCAGATGACTTCCAAAGATGGAGTGGTAATCTCTAAGGATGGTTGTACACATAAGCTCATTATCCAGAATTGCAAGGATTCTGATGGAGGTCTATATCATTTTGAGGTAAATGGTTGCAAGACAGAGGCCATGGTGAGAGTTGGAGGTAATCATATTAAATTTTAATTTTTACATTTGGCTAGCATGAGGAAATTACTGTCAGTTTGGCAAGTACAATAATCTTTTCTGCTGTATATGTTTTCTATTTTTCCCAGATCTTCCAGAATTCGATCCTGATGGTTTGCAAAAGTTCTCCAACCCTGTGATAGTGAAAGCAGGCCAGAGTGCATCTTTTAAGATGTCATTTCCTCCACAAGCTTCACTGGAGATTAAATGGTTTAAAAATGGCTTGGAGCTTCTTGATGGTGGTTCAGTGAAAGTGGTGAAGGAATCAAACCACAGTCGTCTTCAAATAAAAGACTGCCTGCGATCGGATACTGGTCAAATCAAAATCCAGCTAAAAAATCCTTTTGGTTCTATTGAAGCTTTGTCAAGCCTTATAGTATTAGGTGAGTACAATATCTGCAATTAAACTGTTACCAAAACAAACAGACTACTATATTTTAAGTAACACACATCTGCTCCCCCTGACAGACAAGCCAGGTCCACCACAAGGCCCACTAGAAGTGAATGAAAGCACATCCTCGGTCCTTGAATTGAAATGGAATCCTCCGAAGGATGATGGTGGCTCAGAA